TTTTGTCTTTTTAAGCAATTATCTAATATTAGGTCATTGGCATGTGTGTCATAATTAAACACCTTAAAATCATTTAGACGATGCTATAACAATGATAAAAATAATTGTAATTGAATGTATGGTCCTTCTAGATTACTAAATTATATTGTCTATTAAAATTTATGGCATCAACATAAATATTCATACGTAAGCTAAGTAATTTATATTTACATTACACATTTGCATATAGTTAAAATTTAAAATGTAATACATCCATTATCTAATATAAAATTTTATATATTTATGCATACATATAATATATAATTTTTTTTTTTATATGCACAGGATAAATAGTAGTTAAAATGAAGTCCCAATAATACTGTATATTGCATTATGGGGTCTAGAGTATGACTCAGATGCGTTATCCGGATATTTACGACTGTCTTCGAGTCTTTTTCACAAATGAATAATGGGCTCGTGTGGGGTACACTTCAAATTAATTACTCACCCAAATAATGGGTCCTGTTCGAGTATTTGAATCATTATTGGTACTCAGTTGAGTAAAATGGATCGGGGCTAATCAACTACTCTTTGGTTAACCTTTTTTTTTTTATCGGATTTACCTTACTTAAGCACAACATCCGGGTCATTAATTAACTTGTCTATATGTAGAAATTCTATGGATAGCTCCTTTTTATGGAGTTATCCATAACTTTATGTATTTACATATGTTCAATGTGTATTTATTTGGATACGTATCAATCAATACACTATTTGTAGATAATTATGAATAGCTCCATAAACCGAATCATCCAATTGCTCGATAGCAAAATCGTGTCAAAAGGTTCATGAAATTCGAAAAAGAATCTCTTTGAAAATATTATTTTAGATGTTTAGGGTCTCTCAGTTTAATATTACAAAGAAACCCTTTTTCGAATTTTATGAACCTTTTGACACGGTTTTTGTTACTTCAAGCATTTTTACATTATAGTAATTGTATTTGCCTCTTTGTTGATGTCATATTGGAGGTGTTAAACAAAATAACTTGTTTGTGAGCTTGGTTCGACTTAGCTCGATAAATTTCGAGATCATTTAAACCATGTTAGTTAACGAGCTGTAGGCTTGAGACTGGTTCGGTTCTTAGTATATTTTTCAGGATTCGAAACCTAAAAAAATAACGGGTTCAATTAATACACACACAAAAAAAAATCACAGGAATCGAAAAAGAATCATAATCGTGTTATAATAGCTCTGTTATCCCGGTTCTTTGGGTAGCTTAATTATAAAAAATAATTGATCTTGAGTTAAAATTCGATCAAAAAATTGCAACTCGCGTACTAAAAATATTATAAAAATAGTGGACCGAAATACAAAAAATGAAGAACCGAATTATGCATAACAAGAACTGGAACCAATTCGTATATAAAAAAAATATAACACAAGCATATTACGCATATATAGTCGATTCCTAAGTTAATACTAGAAAAGGAACCAAGAACCGGTACTCGTTTGTGCAAAAATAACCAAATTAGAAAAAATATTTATTTTTTAATAACTGGACCGGTTACTTTTTACTCAATGTGGCTCGGTTCTACGGTTCTTGAAGGAATTTTATATAATTTAGCTGGTTTACACTCTAACTCGGCTCGTGAAACGAGTATGGCTGGCGCTCGAGCTCGGCTCTCGCTGGTTTACACCCCTTATCATCTTCCTCCTCGCTTTTGAGAAGAAAAAAAAAAAAAAAAAAAAGACCCGCTTTCCCAGAACTTCTGGGAAGGATCTCAATTACACGTTTACGCAAATTCCAAATCCAAACCAAAACGCCCAATTGATCTTCGTCCAATAACCATTGTTGGGTCTTGTTGTTTTCGATTAATTCGCCACTTATATCATTCCACAAATCTCGTATTCTGCAGGTTAGTAAAAAAAAAAAGATATTTTTTTCTTCTGTTTGGGTTTGATTTTTGGTTCTTGGCTGCTCGCAAAATCGAATCCCTTGTGTTTTTTATTTTTCAAGTTCTTCGCCTGTGTTGTTGATAGAATAGGTATGCAATTTTATGGTAAGCTTTAAGGGGGGAAAAATGAGGCAATTAAAATCTTCCCGTGGCAAGATAAGCCCTCGATTACGAGGGATTTGTAATGGGTTGTTTACCCTGGTGCTGGTTATCTTGTTCTACAATCATGGGTATATTGCGACGAATCCAGTTTTAGGGATTCCATCATCCTCGCCAAACCCTAGTTCCAGCTCAAAACTGGGATTTTCTAGAGTCCGTAGGGGGATGGCTGAATTAAGCCCAAATTCCTCCACCCACGCGAATGGGACTGATCTCAACTACATCAATGTCGAAAATTCCGAATTTTGCTCCGGAATTCTCGACCACATCGGGTACGGCAGCAGCTGCGAGTTCTTGAAAACCCACCCGGAATGCAAATCGAGTGGGTTCCTCGATTACCTGAATTTCTACTACTGCGATTGCAGTGGGAACACTTGGGCTTTTCTGGTGTTGGGCCTCTGGCTAGCCGCATTGTTCTATCTTCTCGGCAACACTGCAGCCGATTATTTCTGTTGTTCGTTAGAAAAGCTCTCGGGCCTGCTAAAGCTATCCCCCACTGTAGCTGGGGTCACCTTGCTTCCTCTCGGAAATGGTGCTCCCGATGTTTTCGCGAGTATTGCGGCTTTTGTCGGGAGTGGAGCTGGCGAGGTGGGGCTTAATAGTGTCCTAGGAGGAGCTGTTTTCGTTACATGCATTGTTGTGGGGGCTGTTTCACTATGTGTGGCCGATCAGGATGTTCGGATCGATAAAAAGTGCTTTATAAGGGACATAATGTTCTTTATTTTCACGCTCACGTCCCTTTTGTCGATCTTGTTCGTCGGTAGAGTGAATTTCTTGGCCGCCGTTGCTTTCGTCTCGATTTACATTGTGTATGCTTTTACTGTTGCTGCAAACGAGGTTCTGCGCGAACAAGCCCAGAAACTTAAATTAGACGCCGTGACCCCTTTGCTTCCTGTTCGGGGGAGCATATTTTCAGCCGGGACCAGTCAGGAAGAGGACTCCATGATCAGCTCATTGCTCGAGCTCGACACTCAAAGTGACGGGGCCCAGTCGAATTCCTCATTGCCACAATGGATGTGGGCTTCTAATGTCGCGATATATTCGAACCAAGTCCTTAAAATCCCCGATGGGGACAATAATTTATGGGGATGGACGGATGAGGAGACAGTTTCTGCCGAAGGGCGATCGTTTTCTTGCTCGAAAATGTGCACTTTGATGGAGCTTCCCCTCACAATTCCGAGGCGATTGACAATTCCTTTAGTCGAAGAGGAAAATTGGTCGAAGACTTATGCCGTGGGGTCCGCTCTATTCGCTCCTGTTTTGCTCGCTTGCCTGTGGAGCTCGCAGGACAGCCGCGCAGTCGCTTGTGCCGTCGGTTTCGTTATCGGTTCGGTACTATCCTTTTCGGCGTACAAGCAGACAAAGCACGAGCACCCGCCTCAGAAGTTTCTATTCCCTTGGGTTGCGGGAGGTTTCGTGATGAGCATCGTGTGGTTTTACATGATCGCCACCGAGCTAGTCGCTTTGTTGGTGGGGTTGGGCGTGATTTTGGGGGTCAACCCTTCGATTCTTGGTTTGACCGTGCTCGCTTGGGGGAACTCGATGGGAGACCTCGTCTCAAACGTGGCTTTGTCGGTGAACGGCGGGGATGATGGGGTGCAGATAGCCATGTCGGGTTGCTACGCGGGCCCAATGTTCAACACGCTCGTCGGGCTCGGCGTCTCGATGATGCTAAGGGCTTGGGTTGAGGGGCCCGGCCCGTTTGTGGTGCCCAGGGATGCCAGCCTGTACTACACGCTCGGGTTCTTGCTGGTGGGCCTTGTTTGGGCCCTTGTGGTCTTGCCGAGGAATGATATGCGCCCGAACAGGATGCTTGGAGGGGGACTCATCGGGATATATTTGGTGTTTCTCTCGTTTAGGCTGGCTTTTGCTATGGGTTTAGTCTCGTTGGCCGGGCTCGGTTAGAAAGGTACGCGCGTGTGCTGATTTTCTTGATGATATCGACGAGGAGGACACGATTGTTTTATTCTAAATGTACTTTGATTGATACATGAGAGGAAGTACTTGTGAAGTGTTATATATGTTAGATCTTTGTAGTTCCAACTTGTTTTTATGGTTTTCTTGAACCGTTGCTGGCATGAAAATGCAATAAATTTCTAAAGTTGGTGGTGTGTTTTCTTGCTAAGCGTTTGCAATTGGTTTTTCTTTAGTGAAATGCATGGGCATTTGCTTACTCCCAAGTAGTGCTTTTAAATTAAACAAGTCCGGCTCAGCTCGTTAAGTCTCGAGTTTGGCTTGTCTTGTTTGATAAACGAGTCGAGCTCGAGCTCATTTAAGGCTAGGCTTGCTCGGCTCGATAAGGCTCGAAAAGATTTTTTTTTTTTATATAATTTTCTA